ACGGCTATATTAATGCTGGAAATCTACTGAAAATCACCAGCAGACACGCCCTAGATTTTGAAACAGTGATTGATGGAAGAATATGTGGTTAAAAAGTAAGGAGAATTTTTGAGTTTATGCGTAATATTATTTTATTGATAGAAAGTGTGGTTGAAATGAAGAAAGAGAAAAAAAAAAATGAGAAATAGAATGGATGTCAAACATGGACTTAATTGGGTAAGCTCTTTATTGAATAGTCCTAGGTTTGATCGTTGTCCGGCCCATTATTGGAGCAACCCAACTAGGCATTCAAGGAATGTATTTTTTCTATAAATGTATTTTTATTTTTATTTTTATTTTTAAAGAAATGTTGTAAATGGTAAATTTATTTCTACAAGACAATTGAACCCCTACAACCCTAGAAATTATTATCATATGTGTCCATATTCATTTCCTAGAAATATAGGGTTTTGATTCTCATTATAACACACACAAATTTATTGAATTTTATTCTCTCTTCTATTTTTCTCTCTTTTCATAACACATTATCAGTACGAAAACTTAATTTTTCTAAGTTTAGAGAAGCAATCAACAAAACCTCTTCCTAAACGTGTGGTAGTTTAGTGAATGTAGTAATTTTAAGCACAATCATCTATCACATGTACTAAAATTAATTTGGTGACGTGTGCATTTTTTTAATATAATATGCATTATAATATTCTACTTCTTGAATTTTCTGCCCGTACAAACTCTATGCCTCCTTGACAATAACATTCTCAAATCATTATAAAATTATTACAATTCATGAAACAGACCGAGAATGTGTATGGTTGAGCAATATGACCCATCATATCCAAGCATCATGCGAATTAATTTCAACAAAAGATAGTCCAACAATTTTTTATGAAAATTATGTTGCTTATATTGCACAACCTAAAAAAGTTTATATCAAAGATGACAGGACGAAGCATATTTCTCCAAAATTCTTTCATACATACGAGTTTCAGAAAAATGACGATTTCA